TCGAAAACAATAAAAGACTTAAGAAAACTGTAAGCTAAAACTTGAAGAAGGAATTTATTATTTCACTTGTAATGATTGCCTGAGAGAATACATAGGGGAAACCTCAAGAAGTTTAAATAAACAAAAAGTTATATTTTATAAAACAACACATTAAGCACTTTAGTTACTCACCGTAACGTAACTGATCACAATTTTGACATAAAAAACGCCCCTCTAATTAAAAGAGAAAACAATTTACAAAGATGAAAATATTATTTTACCTGTTACTTTTACTTTTATTTTTTCACACATGTATTGAGCACATTTTAATACCACTGTTTCCTGGTCTCATTCAACTCTGACCATTAACCTTTTATGTATTATACATATATATATATATAAAGAAAAACATACAGAAAAACAAACAAATCCTAATATGCAATTATGGTGTTTTAATGTTGCATATTAGGCTTTTTGTTTGTTTTTCCGTATATTTTTCTTCATATTGTCAGATCTATATCCATATATTTGCTTACATATATATATATATATATATATATATATATATATATATATATATATATATATATAAAAGATCTAATTAAAAAAGAGAATAATTCACTAAGATGAAAATGTTTAGAAAGAGTTCATCCAAAATAAATTGGTGTCCGGATTCTTACATTTCACTATTTTTGGTAGATCTTCTGTTATCTCAAGGTGGAATATTTAATAACAAAGATGGTGGAAAGAAAGAGAAAAAGAATTTAAATGAAATCGGTTAGATTATATATCCAAAACACATTGAAAAAATTAATTTAACATTCTCCATTGTATGCATATTTAGGATGAAACGAGTCAAACGAAAACTTTTTCCACTTTGTTATACATCTTTCCCCACAAATGGCTATATCGTTACCCCATACATGCATGCAAAATTTCAGATAGAGCATGCCTGTAAAAGGAAAATTAATCTTGGTCTTGGCTAAAATAAATTTTCTGTTTGGCTTTGATTTATATATATATATATATATATATATATATATATATATATATATATGTGTGTGTGTGTGTGTGTGTGTGTGTGTGTGTGTGCGTGTGCGTGTTTGTGGCTGTGTCTGTGTGGAGTATGAGAGAAACAGAGAGATAAATTTCTAGCTAGGTAGATTGATAACCAAACCAACCGACAGACAGACATACTGATAGATAGATAGATAGATAGATCGATAGATAGATAGATAGATAGATAATGAACTGAGAAAGATATACATATACACACACACACATATATATATATATATATATATATATATATATATATATATATGCGTGTGTGTAATAGATAGATAATGAACAGACTGAGATAGAGAGATAGAGAAATACACAATGGACAGAATGAGATAGATAGATAGATAGATAGATAGATAGATAGATAGATAGATAGATAGATAGATAATTGACTGAGAAAGATATACATATACACGCACATATATGTATATATATGCGTGTGTGTAATAGATAGATAGATAATGAACAGACTGGGATAGAGAGATAGAGAGAGAAATACACAATGAATAGAATGAGATAGATAGATAGATAGATAGATAGATAGATAGATAGATAGATAGATAGATAATGAACTGAGAAAGATAGATATATACATGACATATATATATATAGTGTAATAGATAGATAGATAGATGATAATGAACAGACTGAGACAGATAGATAGAGAAATACACAATGAACAGAATGAGATAGATAGATAGATAGATAGATAGATAATACATAATGGAAACAGACTGAGATGAGTTAGAGAAAAGAGAGACAGTGAGAGAAATAGAAAGATAGATAATGGAACAGAATGAGTTAGCAAAATAGATAGATAGATAGATAGATAGATAGATAGATAGATAGATAGAAATAAACAGAATGAGATAGATAAACAGATGAGATAGATAGATAGATAGATAGATAGATAGATAGATAGATAGATATAGGCAACGAAATATCTGCAATAACCATACGTGAGATCGTCCCTCCCCTGCAATTAGTAGATTTAATAATGTATTAAGCGTTTGCAGTTTGCATTAATCATTGAAATATTTCTTCCCTTGCTTCTCCGAGACCCGGAAAAGTTCCTGTCAACCAGACACGTTACCCTAATAGGCACAAGACATCCGTTTACATCATGTCTCTATTGTCCCCAATTAATAAGTCCACCGTGTTAGAATTTGTCATACAATGCCCGTATAATAAATTGCAGTATTGACCAAATGTTGTTGGTAAGTAATGTTTCCATGGAGTAATCATGGTTACATGAGAAAATCTTGCAATTTTGAAATGCACAAATACCAATGATAAGTAATAAACAGATTTGCAGAATGTAAATAACCATTAACATGCGTGAAAACAAAAAAACACACCAAAAAAACACACCAAAAGGTGTTGCTGAAAGTCTAGTACGCGTACCGTTGTCGCTATGAGTGCCATCGTCAGCCGGTACGCGGAGAATTTCCGGGGAAGAAAGAAACAGTAATCACATTCCACGTTACGGTAGAGTGTCAAGATATCTGCCTCTTTTTCTTTTTTTTTTAAACGCGTCAAACGAAAACGTTTTCCATTTTGTCATATATCTAAAAGAAAACCAAGCACAGAAAGAAAACTATAGGATTTTCTAGTTATTACCGAGAAGAAAGAACTGACAGTTCAACAATAGGAGTAGATAGGTTCGCCTATCGTCCGGTTCATACTCCTCTCCAGTCAGGGCCAACATTCAAGGTTACACAGTAATCACCTAAAGCAGTGATTTAAATATAAAACCCTACTTGCCGATATATAGTATTTGATGACCTAAAAAGTAACCCTTATTGACATATAAAAGTATAATAGATTTAGGTTCGGTACAAATATTGGTAATCTATAGCCTCTGGGTAAACTTGAGACCATTGCACGTCAAAGTGTGGTGCGCATAACGGTTTAGGTACGCGAGCCATCCTCTGCCGGTACGCGGAGAGTTTCCAGGTAAACAAAGAAACAGTCGTCACATTCCACGTTACGGGAGAATGCCGAGATATCTGACTTGGTTTTCTTTTAAACATTTTCATTTTAGTTTCATATTTATTATAGTTACATTTTTAATTACGCATTCATGTTAAATATAATTACTATACAACTAAGGAATCCGGTTTAATGAACAGTGAAATAAAATACGTATGACAAAACCATCATGGCGTCTGACTGTGAGAACGACTCCAAGGGAAAACCATACAGCCATTTCCATGGACATATATTTCTACAAAAACAATATAAAGAAAAATGATACAACTTTTATTATAATAATTATATTTTTCTGCCATAAATGAATGATACTGCTAATGTTCTAATAATATTTTCTCGGTTTGTTATTACATAATTGCACAAATATGCTACCAGTGTCTGGTACTCTAATAAGACTTGTGACGTCAATGCTGATCAGCCTTAGAATTTGACTTTGTTGTTCTTAATCCCATACCTTTTATACCGCTGTAAAAGTTGCTTATATTTAGGGCCAACATTAAAGGTTACACAGTAATCACCAAAAGCATTTATTTAAATATTAAACCCTACTTGCCGATATATAGTATTTGATGACCTAAAAAGTAACCCCTGTTGACATTTCGTATAAGAGTATTATATATTTAGGTTCGGTAAAAATTTTGGTAATCTATAGCCTCTGGGTAAACTTGAGACCAGTGCCCGTCAAAATGTAAGAAAACAAAGAAACAGTAATCGCATTTCACGTTACAGAGAATGCCGGGATATCTGACTCGGTTTTCTTTTTAACATTTTCATTTTAGTTTTATATTTATTATGATAACATTTTTCAATTACTCACTCATGTTAAATGCCATTGGGAAATAACTAATGAAGGCGATATAATGAAGAGTAAAACAGTGAAATAAAATACGTATGACAACACCATCATGGCGTCTGAATGTGGGAACGACTCCTAGGGAAAACCATACAGCCATTTTCATGGGCATATATTGCTACAAAATCAATATAAAGAAAAATGATACAATTATATTAATTATATTTTTCTGGCATAAATGAATAATACTACGAATATTTTTTCGGTTTGTTATTATATAATGGCACAAATAAGTTATCAGTGCCTGGCAGAAATATGGTACCAATGTCTGGTACACGGGGAAGACTTGTTAATAAATATACACGTACCCACGTTTGGTGTTCGACTTAAGTTTTGTCGTTGGTTACCATATTAGAAAATGGGATGCAGTTAGGAGTCATTTAGGGAAAAAAAGTGAAAAATTGTAGCACGTTTTAAATTTAGATTTTGAACGTGAGACGCAGTTCGCCACCACAAAGTGTGGACATTCATATATATATATATATATATATATATATATATATATATATATATCAGAGTCTGTCTATATTTCTGAGATGAGGTATTATGTACATTATTTACATTATTCGGACTATTGTCCTCATCTTTGTCCCCATATTTATCACAACGTTTCCGCCCTTCAGTATCAGTCTATATTTCTAATATGAGGTATTTTGTACACTATTTACATTATTCGGACTATTGTCCTCATCTATGTCGCCATATTTATCACAACGTTTCGGCCTTTCAGTATCTGTCTATATTTCTAAGATGAGGTATTATGTACACTATTTACATTATTCGGACTATTGTCCTCATCTTTGTCGCCATATTTATTACAACGTTTCAATGCAATGATAACAGCAAAATTGCAATATGAGCACTGGTAAAAATGGTTGATGAAGACATTAGGTTTATAATACCCAGAAATTCATACCCAGATGTCATCAAGGACACATGGCACAGTGGATAAAGGCGTTGGTTAGATCCAGTGACAGGACCCAAAGAGTGTGTTATGGGACCTTACTCATAATAACATAATGGACTAGCCCATACGTAATAAATACTGCACCTCAAGAGGAAGCAGAGAGTTCAGTTCAATCTGAAGCGAGGTCCGTCAGGAGTCTGTCAGTCAGTCAGAGCGAGCGAGTCAGTCAGTCGAGTTCAGATGCAGTCCGAAACAGAGTCGTGTTCAGACAATTACTACTAAACCTGATTGTTCGTACTAACACTTTCTACTTCTCTGTATATATTCCTGTTTGTAATGTATCGGTGTTATTCCATATCCGCGTTCGAGTTCTTCTTTATTGGTTCTACCTTGGACTATCACCGTGGTACAAGCAATCGGACCATAACAGAGTCTGAGTTCAATACCCGGTTAAGGCAGTGGAGAACTTTCAGGGGGAAATTAACAGGAGATAACTGATGACTGACATCTATCAAACATGGCACGTGGAACTAGAACAGTATATCTAAGTCCGACATTCCAAGCACCTGAAGAAGGCCGGAGCGTACAACGGCCGAACGTTGTGATAAATATGGTGACAAAGATGAGGGCAATAGTCCGAATAATGTAAATAATATATATATATATATATATATATATATATATTTAGGCAGCAATCCTTCCTTTATGCATGTTTCATTAAAAACGACAGACAAGGTACTACGGCTAAGTTTTTTATTCATTTTTTTTCTTGTACCCGAAACTGAAATCTTTTATAAGATCAGCGTTCCGTTTAAATCTGATCACGTCGTCGTCAAGTGGGCGATATTGCTTTTATGTTGCTTTTTTATTAAACATTAAAACAGCATAATCGCATATTAAGATTTTTGTTTGTTTTTTTTTTCAGTATATTTTCTTCATACTGTCGGATCTATATCCATATATTTGCTTACATATATATATATATATATATATATATATATATATATATATATGTATATATATCCAACCTAAATCACATCAGATAGAGAAGCAGAGTTTTAGGGAACTTTTATAAATAAGCTTCTCCACTCATTTACGAGTAGACCAGCTTATATCCAGTTTCAAAATAGGAAATGTTTTGTTTCAAATCCTATTTACCGTTATTTAGACCCCACCCACCGCACCTACGCCACCAGACCGCGACAATTACCAGAAGTGAGAAATACTAATTTTTTTAATCGATTTAGAAAGATAGATACTGATTATAATAAAAAAAAGGAGGAAAGGGAAATGTAGAGGGAAGACAGAAGTCGCTGTTTGAGGTTTTTCTTTCTTTCTTTCTTTCTTTTTCTTTCTTTCTTTTTTTCTTTCTTTCTTTTTCTTTCTTTCTTTCTTTCTTTTTCTGTCTTTTTCTTTCTTTTTTCTTTCTTTCTTTCGTTTTCTTTCTTTTTTCTTTCTTTCTTTCTTTTTTCTTTCTTTCTTTTTCTTTTTCTTTCTTTCTTTCTTTTTTCTTTCTTTCTTTCGTTTTCTTTCTTTTTTCTTTCTTTCTTTTCTTTCTTTCTTTCTTCTTTCTTTCTGTCTTTCTTTTTTCTTTCTTTTTTTTCTTTCTTTCTTTCTTTCTTTTCTTTCTTTTTTTCTTTCTTTCTTTGTTTCTTTCATTTTTTTTCTTTCTTTCATCTTTTCCAACGACCCCGTCTTGATGTTCCGAACTGTTTTTTTTTTTTTTCGTTTTTCTTATACGGGAGGGGAGAGAAGAGGAGAATAAAATAGAGAAAGGAAGGAGGAAACAGTGGTTGAGGAAAAGAAAGCAAGAAACGTTTCTGATTTGATCATAATTCCTAAGACCAACGAATGTGTTTCTCTCTCTCTCTCTCTCTCTATATATATATATATATATATATATATATATATATATATATATATATATATATATATTGTTAAGCAACGCTTCATATGAAAGGAAACATGTCTTGCCATTACTTACCTGTTATGTCAAACTGTTCGTTGAACATGTGAGTCTTTCCGTGTGTTGGACCTAAGATGGAAAAAAAAAAGACGAGCATGCTGTCTATTCTTTTTTGTATCGTCTTGGCTGAGGAGGAAGTGACGTAAGTCGTTAATGATTGGTCGCTTGAAATTTCAAAATCAGCAGTGGCAGTTACTCAATATGTCCATTTGTTGTCTGCTTGGCGAAATTCGCCTGCCGGAAGAGTACTTTTTCGCTAGGGTCTCTTGGACGAGCAAGTATGATGTTTCAAGACCCGAAACTTGTCATGACCCCAAGTCATAACATCACTGACGAGGCGATCCTGTGCACTCGTTGCAGTGTTTTCATAAAGATACACATCTAAATCTATTCCTGACATTTACAGAGTTATTGAACTTTGTTGTTATTTACAAATGTCAAGTTTGAAAGCGTGATAGAATCGTTGTTATCTGCATATTATTGTTCAATGTCTTTACGCTATTTTAATAGACATTTAAAAGTTTTTTTTTTAAGTTTTAGGCTTTTCTTTTTCTGTATTGGATTTTTTCCATAAAAACATGGGCAAACATTTAAGGTTAATAATAATGACTTTTTTTAATTATTTCACACCATGAAAGATAGTAAAGCCACTAAGACACAAAAGGTTCCTGGGTGTGAAAGAATAGGAAAAAGAGAAACATTAAGAGGCTAGAAAAATAGAAGAGTAATCAAGAAAAC